TTTCAATATGGCTACCAAAATGTTGCTAAAAAAAATAACTGATTACACAGTTCTGTGGTTCGGGTATTAAAAGGCGTCGGCTTTCTTTTGCTAATCCCCTTGATACTAAAGTACCTGACACATGCTACCATCCACCTTAACAAAAAGAGAGATCACGCCGAAAATGGAGTATTGCCGTAGGAAATTCAGTCGTCCAGGTTTTTATATAAAAAGAAATCCGACATCCGAATTATAAACAATAATAAAATAAAAAATAAAGTAAACATGGGTATGTCTATTAGATAAATGATTAGTATTTACAAACATATGTATAAAAAAGATTTTAAAAGGAGTCAAATTAGTCTTTAGTTAAGTTATAGCCTTTGAATACTCGGTTAACAGAAAAAATATGAGGTTTAGAAAACACTTTTCAATAGCTGGTCAACAGAAAAAAAAACCTGTTGTGGATAAAAGACTTTTACCGTTGGCAAAGAGTCACTGAACTTTGCCGTTGTTGGAGATGATTCGTTTGAAGTCGCCGACTGGCCGTCCATGCTGTTGTTGGATTCACCGACATGTTTCTTTCAGTACGTGCTGTGGAAGGAAGGAAAAATCTATGTAGTCAAAGTCTTCTGTTCGGCTTGCAGACAGTCGCCTCTCTCTCCTTGAAATCCGTGGATTTTTATAAGAAATTTTTCCTGAAAGTAGGCCCGAGGAAAATAAAATATTAGTTTTCTCCGATTGGTCAAATATTTCACATGGTGATATTAATTTCTAACCAATAGACACTTTGATTTAAACGGCGTGTCGTGGAATTTTATAGGCTTTTTTGTAATTGTTGTTATTGGATAGGAAATAAAGTTTGGTCATGTTTTAATATGGTATGTATGTAGATATGTAATTGTGTTATAAATAGGGTTTATTTCCTATAATGTTGCCTTATATGGACAGGGGCTACACAGTCTTCACTTTCCAGTCTTGATAGAGGCCGAAAGTGTCTCCCTCGTCCTTTTGAGTGATTAATTATTTTCCACCCTACAACCACTTTCCCTCAGACGAAACATCGCAAGCCTCTGGCTGCTGTATCGCTATTTCCATGTAAAGTGCTCAGATAAACTACATTCCTTAGTTCAGCCAGTTCTAATCTTCACGACTAAGAAGAACTATACCCCGCACATTACAACGAACCACCTTCATTCACTTCGTATTTCATTGGTAAGTTTTTTTTATGGGTACAAATTCAAGCAAGGCAATAAAGCCACTAAAACGCAATGGGATCAGGGTGTGAAAGAAGTGGGAACAGAAACATTAATGAGCAGGGAGAGAAAAGAGTAATCAGGGAGATAGCGATTGTCATTGCATTTAAATTTTTGCAGATTAAAGTTAGTTGCAAAGGATGCAGCCAGAAAGGAGTTCTACAAGCGAGAAGCGCGAGAAAAGAAACTGTTAGCATATAATTTACGGTTACATCTATCCAGCTCAACTGTAAAATGACGAGATCTCGATGCCATTCTAATACTGCGATTAAATTCAAAAAGTCTTGGTACCAAAACAGAAAATGTGGCACAAGGTCAAAAAAGGGAATAGGGGAAAGGACGGTCTTGTTTTGTCTTAACATTAAATTTGCCACAAACACTGATCAAAAGATATAATATTCTTATCACCAAAACAACGCATTTTTACTTACCTTTCTTACTACATCCACCATAATACCTCATTGTCTCTATAAAAATCCTAACTAGTCTCCATATGTACAATTCATTGTCTGTGGTGGAAGGGGAATAAAACAGCAATATAAAAAACCTAGCCCCAGTGAGTATTAACAAAGTGAAGAGCCCCTCCGAACAATTACCATGAAAGTATTTATAAAAAATGCATAGAGAGGCAACCTTAGGGCGGTGGGTAAGCGATTGAAGCCAAGTTGCCAGATCAGGACCAATTATACTGCAGATTTTTCTTTGGATCTTATCCAAGAGCTAAAGTTAAATAGCAGGCATCCCGGACCATATGTGGCAGCAATATTCTACGCATGGACAAATGGTAGACCAATAGATATGTAAGATAGATTCTGGAGAGAAAAATTATCTCGCACGACACAATGAACCGATTTTCTTAGCAGCTGACTTAGCAGTGGATTCAAAAATACAAAGCTTTATTCAGAAAAACATTAAAATTTAGCATCACTGGGTTGAGATGCCGTAAAACAAACCAAACCAAAACCTAACCAAACTTTTGTTTTAATTCATTTTTATTGGAATTGAGAAGCAAAGAACTTGCAATTGCCTCTATCTAAGACATGCTACGGGCTTACGAGGATATCAAGTTAAAGTTAAGCAACGTCGAACCTGGTCAGTACGAAAATGGGTGATTGCTTGGGAATACCAGGTGCTGTAAACTTGGATGTGCGGCGATTCAATCTGAGTTCGCATTCCAGTCGAGTTAGTTACATTCACTTACGCAAATATGCTTGGGCAATCATGAATCGAAAAAAACATGACCGCCCAAGAGTGTCACATCCTCCCTATCAACAGGCATTGGGCTAGCACGCCAGTGTAATGGACCATTCCTCACGTGAATCTGGAGAAGGCCGAAGAATCTTCAATGGCTGAGAAGAGAAACCACATGCTACTCAAAACAACATGCGGGTCGAACACCTGTTTTGCAAGGTTTTTCCCAGTTGCTTCCAGAACGAGACCCTCTTCTCAATGCTCCGACAAAAAATGCCATGAAATGGAAAAATTTTATTGAATCAATTGCGAGGTCTGCTGCGACACAAGTTGCTTCATTTTATCGTGCTAGACAATTTTTCTCGCCAGAATCTATCTTAAATATTTATAAGTCTATCATTCGTCTATGGTTAGAATATTGCTACCACATATGGTCCGATATGCCTGCTTGCCATATATGGTCCATTACGTCTGCTATTTACCTTGAGATCGTTGACCAGATCAAAAGAAGAATCAGCGATATTATTGTTCCTGATCAAGCGACAAAGCTCTAGTCACTTACCCATCGCCGTAACGTTGCCTCTCTATACCATTTTTTATAAATACTTTCATGCTATTAGGTTGGTGCAAAAATAATGACGTAATAATGTCGTTTTTGGACGTATTTTTTTACGTCAAAAACGACATCATTACGTCATTATTTTTGCACCAACCTAATAACTGTTCGGGGATTTGGTGTTCCTGCTATATATTTAGAGGTTCTTGATAAAATCCAAAGAACAAACTGTGATAGACCGAAAATATCCGCATAAAATGTGCCTCCTACTTTGTGACCCACTACCTCAATGGCTCTTGGGCCTTGTACAAGGTAAACATCAACATAAAACACTTCACAGAAAGTAGTTGATTCTTTCTGAGATGTTTTATTTTTGACAAGACCCAAATCAAACCAAAAATATATTCATGTGGACGATATCTCCCAAACATACCGATATATATATATATATATATATATATATATATATATATATAGAGTATTTCATACACCTATTACCAACCATTTGTTTTAATTCTTAGACATTTTTGTTGGAACTTTGAAGCGAAGAAATTGTAATTGCTTCTTTCTAAGACATACTACGGGCTTAAAGGCATATCAAGTTGAAACGTTCTCGTCCGAACACTGAAGTTAAGCAACGTCGAGCATTGGTCGCTGCTCTGAGAAACATACGCCCAAAACGATCCTTCCACGATCACTACAATCTTAACCTGCTCAAGTCTAGGATTAGCCATTATCTTCCCTATATACCCGCAAAAGCTGTGCCTCTTACTACGTTCTACTTTGAGTGACTCCCGGACCTTGTACAGGTGGGGGACATATTTTTTTTTTTTTTTAAATAGCATGTTTGAATTTCAAGTCAAAGGGAGATAATATCCAAGGTTCGGCCGGAAAATGTCCACCGAATTCGAATATCTCAAGTGCCGGATGTGTTGCTTGGAGGCGACTTAACACTGAGCTGTTAGAGCTAAGTCAGAGAAGAGATCAGCTTCCAGGCTCCTGATCAGCTTAGATTTTTGGAAGTGCGCCAATACAATATTCTATACAAGTGATACAATAATGTATGGGAGCGTCTTCATAGATCTACCACCCTGTCGGCTGTCGGCTGTAGAATGCACCGACTGCACCTCTGCAAAGGATTAAGACCCCACCTCTAACGAAGCCACCTGTTTGAAAATACTGAAACCGTCAACATAATATCCTACCTTAAAGAAATAAGTTTATACTTCAGTTGGCAAGAAACTTCATTCGGGCAGCATTTTCCCAAGAACCGTTGCTTTGAGGTACAGATTGTCGGGAGGATTTTTCCACTGTCATAACTTCTCCAAGTCAAGATCAACCCTTTCCTACATATCCTCATAAAGTGCACTTCTTATCTACTCCTTTTACGTTTATACAACATCACTTAGTAACACTCTAACTCGAGTGTCTCTTGGGCATTGTATTAGTAAAAAAATCAAATCACTCATCAACTATTTTATACAGTCGGTAAAGATAAAATATTGAGTAAACAGATGTACTGTGTGACCGTCACATTCATCAAAACATTGTTCTTGTGCATTTCGCGTCTTGTGGAGATTTCACTTGACAAAGCAGTGCATGGCCCACAACATAATCTAATGCGTGGCCCCATGGCAAAGCGCTATCACTGGTTAACCGTTATCTATCTTGCATATCCTTATAAACTGCACTTCTTAGTTTCTACCGTTCATGCAACAACCTCATTTAGAAACCCTCTATATTGTTTGGTTGCTTTTGTTTAGCGGCATATCAACCTCTGTGAGTTATTTAATGCCGAAATATTAATATATTGTATGCAATTTTATTTGTGGGGAGGAGATAATAATGGTTTTAGTAATAAAAGTTTTACTAATTAACCCATAGATTGGGGAGAAGAGATTGATTCATATCTTTTCCATGGGTATTTGGGTGTAAATGTTTATAACTAACCCACCTGGAACTGGAACACCGATTAACAATTCCGAGACATTATTTATTACACCACCTGCACACCCAAGCTTACAGCACCTGTTATTCCCAAGAGGGTTACCCATTCAAGCTCGACGTTGCTTAACTTTGGTGATCGTACGGGAACCGGTGTTTCAACGTGATGTGGCCGTAAGCCTTCGGCCTTGTATTGAATGAAAATTACGATCACCAAAGTTAAGCAACGTAGAGCCTGGTTGGTATCTAGATTGGTGAGCGCATGGAAATACCAGGTGCTGTAAGCTTGCATGAGTGGGTGGAGTAATGGATAACGTCTCGTTATTCGAAATCAGAGAGCCGAGTTCAAATCCCAGTCGGGTTTCTTATATTCACTTACGCCCGAATCCAACTCATCTCCCACCATCTATAGGTTAACTAGTAAAAAAAATTGTGTCAGTTAATTATAATTGTTGTGGGGACAGTCTACCCGGATTTTAGGTGGAAAAATATGTAATGATTTGGTCGGTCAACTTGAAACCCCCAAAGCGAGTGGGAACTGTGATTGGTAGCTGGCTTGTTGGTGTTTTGCATAGGTGAGTTACCAAGCTCTATGTAAATGGCTGGAATGAGAAGGAGGTCAGTTTTGAGTCTCAGAAGTGGAGACTGTGTCCGTCGCTACGACAGCAGAATAGAAAGAGACAAAGGCATTTATTTTTTCGTGACGCATTCCAACACAAGCTATTTCGGCATTTACTTTGTCTCCAGCAAGATGGCGGAAAGACCGTTCGACATAAAACTGATCTCCGAATTCAGTGGTGATACGAGTGGACAGTCTGTGGTTGAATGGATCGAAAAAGTCGAACTGGTCTGCGAATTATGCGACATCACGAAGATTGAACGGATTCTTCCACTGCGATTGAAAGGTGGCGCCCTTGCTGTGTATAGGCAGCTGAGCAAAGAACAGAAAAGCTCTCAGAAGCCGGGGAGTTGGAAACATCAAACTCACTATCAACAACGGTAACCCCGTAACAGTCAGCGTGTTGGTCGTGGACAGCGCGTTATTAGGTTTTGATCTGCTCCTTGGGATGGACATTATTAAGGAGCTGGGCGGCGTACGCATCACAGAGGCGGGCGAAGTTGAGTTTTCTGATCCTCCCATCTGTGCTGCATTGAGGATTAACGAACCTGACTTCAGTGCAACTTTCGACCAGCGCAGGCGCGTATGGACCGCAATGTGGAAGTGGGAGGGTAGACGAACGCCCACGCCACTGAAAAATAAAATAGCAGAGTGCCTTCTCCATGTGTGGGAAACTGGTAGGCCATTTTCCCGCATGCGGTTGGCTCAGATTGGCGGCAGCAGCCATAAAGCGCCGCGTAACTTCTGTTTCGTCAGGATGGGATGATGAGGTGCACGACGTTACCCTAAGATGCATGATAACTGAAACTATGGAGAGAGTGATGCAAGACGATCCCGTACGAGGTGACTGGTGCGTTAAGGGGAACGAGCTCACAGTTTGGGTGGATGCCAGCTCGTTGGCCATGGGTGTCGCCCTTGAGGATAACGGGTCCATCATAGAAGACGCCTGCTGGTTACGACCTGAAAATGATGCACGACACATAAACCTGACTGAACTAGACGTCACTCTGAAGGGGGTTAACCTGGCGCTCCAATGGCAAGCAACAGTGCTACACATCGTCACGGACTCAGCATGCACTCAGCGTTGGATATCAGATGCACTTAGCGGAAGAGCTCGACTGACCACCAAAGCATCGAGCGAGATGTTGATACGAAGGCGGCTCACCACGCTGATGGAAATTATCAAAGAGTACAACCTGTCTGTGGATGTAGTGTTAGTTAAATCGACAGTCAACAGAGCAGATACATTGACTCGCGTTCCGCAACGTTGGTTGGCTGCTCCTCGGAAAGAGTCTGAACCTCTGCAGCTGCCGTGTACGGCTTCTGCGCTCAGTATGGACCTCGAGCGGATCATGAGCATACATGAACAGTGTGGGCATCCTGGGATTAAACAGACGCTCTACTTCTCGAAGATGGTCGACCCGGCAGTCAAAAAGGATGTTAGGACAGTAGTGCAGAGGTGCGACGCGTGCCAGTCAATTGACCCGGCACCGGTGCAATGGCAAAAAGGAAATTTGAGTACTACCCATGTTTGGAACAGGCTGAGGATAGATGTTACGCATGTTGGCAGCCAGCACTATTTGACTATTATTGACTGTGGACCCTCTCGCTTCGCCATTTGGAGACTACTGCACCGGCAGGACACTGCCAGCATAATACGTCAATTGCAGTCCATCTTTTACGACCGGGGGCCACCTGCAGAAATATTGACAGATAATGGTGCGGCGTTTTCTTCAGAGCAATTCTCGCAGTTCTTAATGAAGTGGGGTGTGCGGCTTCGGTTCCGGTGCGCCTACGTGCCGGCGGGAAACGGCATAGTAGAAAGGAGCCACCGGTCTATAAAAGTGATTGGAGCCAGGAAGCGATGTCCGATCCCCGAAGCAGTCTATTGGTATAATGCAACGCCTAAAGACGGTGTTTCGCCTACAACAGCACCGGCTAACATGGTGCACGCCTATCACTTACGGCTGCGAGGCATTGACATCACAATGGCTCCGAGCGTCGCGCAAGCTAAATACAGAATTGGTGACGTAGTGTGGGTTAAGACCCCGTACAGCAAGTGTACGGACAAGCTTAGAATGGGCCATGTTACCGAGATTATCAGTCCGCAGTCAGTGCTGGTTGATGGCGTGCCTCGTCATGTTAAAGAGTTGCGGTCAGTTGTAGGGTTAAAACCGTCATTAGATGATGAAAGTGACTCTGAAGATGGTGCGGGAGTGGTGTATTTAAAGTCAGATCCACTGAGTTCTACCTCAAACATCAGTACTCTACCTGGGGACGTCAACGTGGCCAGCTCTCCAGAGGCGAATGGTAGCTCAACGGATGAGAGTTCATCCGAGGTGAGGACCCTGTCATCCCGCTCAGAAGGAGTGCCCGTCAGAAGAGGCCTGCCCCGAGTTGCACGTTGTGCGAGCATGACAGCGAGACACGGGATAAATCTGGAAATCTGCCACCTCGGAGCAAACGAGTTCGCGCATGTGTGGTTATCCCAAGCGTGCAAGTTGTATATATGCGGACGCAGTCACCAGACAGACGCGACCATCTCTCGAACTGAGAAGCTTTGTGATCTTAAGATCAGGGGGGGGGGAGGCGTGTAATGAGTTGGTCGGTCAACTTGAAACCCCCAAAGCGAATGGAGGTGGGCAGGCGCGGGAACCGTGATTGGTAGCTGGCTTGTTGGTGTTTTGCATAGGTGAGTTACCAAGCTCTATGTAAAGGGCTGGAATGAGAAGGTCAGTTTTGAGTCTCAGGAGACTGTGTCCGTCGCTACGACAGCAGGAGAGAAAGAGACGAAGTCATTTATTTTTTCGTGACGCATTCCAACACAAAATAAAATCTGACTATCATACCCATAGATACAACACAGAATTATAAACAACTTCGCAGTCTTGCCTGTATAATTGTTATTTTTATATTTAATAACAATAACATTTATACAGGCAGGTACATGTATTTACATATTAAAATTCAATGTTTTTTGTTGTGGCAATGAAGAGACCAAAAGGTCGATTGTTCGAAATGATTTGTCCTAAGTGACGAAAACAAGCGGTATGGTACGCCAATATGTGTGTGTGAAGCACACGCTAATTAAATACTTGTGTAACTGCTGACTGATGCATGCGATAGCAGTAATTTTAAACGCAGTGAAACAAACAGGGAAGAGACAGGACTTACTTTCGTCACAACTTTGTATGTTTCTCAGTGCATTACTGACAGGCGCGTTGTCATGGTAACATGTGTCTATGTGTCAATCGAGGCAGGACCTGGTTCGCTCACTAGTCGCTGACTGTTTTTTGCAGAGCTAATCGTTCACCGTTTCGTGCGAGCCGTTTTTATCGCCATGACTCCGAATCACTATCTGAGTTTTGTGTGGGAATGTACTCAGTAACCAGAGTTCCGACCATTTTCCAGGTCATATAGAGTTCAACCACGGGGACGTCGGAGAAATGACATCACGTGACTTGTTCTACCTAATCAGGTTCCAGAAACCATTTAATTTGAAGCTCTGTTTGTACAGAATTGTAAGTATGTACTGAATTTAATAAGATTTATTTGTAGGCGCCTCTTACTTGTTTATGCTTCACATATTGACCGTAAAATATAGGAGTTTGTATCCTGTAAACCACGCCACAGATTGGTAAATATTGAAAATATTTTTTAATATCTAATATGTGTTTTAAAGTAAGTAAGCCATTTTACTTGCCTATCTGATTTTGTAGTGACGGTTGGAGGTTTGTTTGCCGGTGTCGAAAATGGTTCACACACCTTAGTATTCGGTGGGGGTATAGAGCGTCCCTTTGTACTGTTCTTTAAATCCAAGTACGCTGATTTTAGTCTATAGAGACAGTATCTTGTTTACCCTTTTTATTTATGGTAAAATATTTTGGTTTTCTGTCAACCATTTGAAAAGTTCCTGAGTAAGTAGAGCAAAGAGGCATTTTTTACTGCATCCTTTCATCAGAAAATATATTAATAGTTAAGAAGATCCTTTGGTGTGTAAAGGTTTTTTTTTTCTTGTGATCTTGTAGATATGAAAACTAGATCCCTCATTCTTTGTTTGATGCTTTATAAAAAAACACAATGTGATTGGTTCTAGGTGACTGGTTTTATCGCAAAACTGTCCTGGTAGTGCTAATGATGTCCCAAAGACCAATTCCGATGCTGTGCAACCTAAATCTTCCTTGTTTACATTTCTGATGGATAACAAAACACTTGGGACTGACGTACAATGTCCGTTAATGATTAAATATAACTCAAGATTTTAATGTTAAATAAAACAGTATTTAATTACAACCGCAAATAAATACTTAACAAGGACAAAGAATTAAAAGACAACCAAAGATAATTAATCATTTCAGTAAATACCTTGTTAGTAGAGCGGCTCGGCTTAACGTTCGGTAAGTTCTGAATCAAAACCCAAATGATCGACACACAATAATTCGACTGGATAGTTCCACTCAATAGTAACTCAGTAATCACTCAATAATCACTTCAGTTAGTAGCCTGACACCGCTATTTATACACTTGGCGGAAAATATATATTCATAAGTCCAGAATGA